ACATGAAAACATTTGAATACATTATATTGTCTAAAATATTTGAGCTCGTTGATCCTAACACTTCTTGAGACGAGCATGATTACAAAAGAACATGCATGAAAGAAAATGATTCCTCTAAGTTACATGGAGGAGATGAGTAACTGAGTAACAGTATCATATTCAACGCATTGTTATTGAGATATACACATTTTAAACTAAAGCTTAACAATCTAGTTTGTCTCTTGAGTCTTGTTAGTGCTGAGTCTTGTATTACCAGCTACCCTTAAGGTTAAGGTTGCTTGTCTGTATAAAACTTATGGGTACATTTTTCCATGATGAGTTAAATTCTGCAGTGAATATCACCTTTGTTCTCTCTGTAAAGCGAATATATCCTCTTCATTTCCACAACTAACACATTGCTTATTAAATGCTCTTCAAACCAATCAAAAAGCTTCACTCTACCTTTGTTCCTCAGCTCCACAATCTGGTTTTCACTGTCCTTCAGCCTGGCTTCCAGAGCTGGCAGTTTTTCTTTCATGGCGTTCAACTCTGTCAGTTGATCACTCATGTTTGGACAGCGGTATGTCATGTTTCAGCTTAGATTGTCCCTGCCCAAAGTCAGACTGCAGAACAGAGACTTAACCAGGAAGTCGATCTTAAAATTGCTCAATCTCCTCACCACCTTGTCCCTAGTACAGTATGATCCAAACAGATTTGGAAACAGTTTTTCTTCAACTAACATACTCAAAAATGAATGCCTCAGGTGTGTGTGTATGTGTGTGTGTGTGTGTGTGTGTGTGTGTGTAATAGTGTCTTCACTGGTGCTCAGCTTCTCATCAAAGCCCTAATTTGGACCCTGCTTACAAGTCTAGTTAGAGTTATTAGGACATTGAATGTTGATTATATTGAATAATACAATGCATTTAAATGTATGCTTGAACTTCATTGCCTGCAGTCCAAACACACACATAAATAGAAGTGCATATCATTTTAAAATAACAACAACAAACAGCATTTGTTGGAAAATACTTTTGTCTTTAATATGAGAACAGAAACAAATTAATTTGTAATTTTTTCCGCGATATCCCAATAGTTTTCCAAAATTATAATAATCTTAAGACTGTCCAGTGATTTTAGGTTTATTCTCTTTAATATAGTTGGATAAAGTGTTTGTTTCTTCTCTTCATCCAGTAGAAAACAAGTCATCGAAACCGAAAATGACAAAGGGGTGAACCCCGGTCTGTGACATTAGGTAGGAAACATCAGGGATGTTAGCCCCTCTGTCAGCCTCTTTGCTCACATTCATTGTGAATCTCAGAGGTGAGAGATTAGCATATTTGAATACAATAACAAACATTTTAATCTGCAACCCTGTTCATCAACAGTGATGCAAATCCTCTGCTTCTTTGAAAATCTCCCTCTCTGACTGACAGTAAAAGTTTCCCATCGGGTCATCATGTTTGTCCCTCACAGGAAACCGTACAGGAAGCAAACAGACACAACTTGTGTTTGCTGCAAGATGATAGAAAAAAAATAAAAAGGTGCTACTTTTGGGTTTTGCCATTTCTGGCTAAATTATTGTGAAGTGAAAGATGGTGGTCAACATTTATTCATCATCGTCGTCGTCATCGTCGTCATCATCGTCATCATCGTCATCATCGTCATCATCCTCGTCGTCGTCGTCATCATCGTCGTCATCATCATCCTCGTCATCATCCTCGTCATCATCGTCGTCGTCGTCGTCGTCGTCATCGTCATCATCGTCGTCGTCGTCGTCGTCCTCATCGTCATCATCATCTGGGTCGATCTTTCCGGACAGAACGTCCTCGATCCACTGCTCGAGCTCGTCAGCTGTTGGCATGTCGTCCTGGTCATCCATTTCCATCCACACGCTGTCGGCCTGCCAACGACGGGAAAACAAAAATACTCACTTCATGACAACATGACTTCCAGTGCCCAGTTTACAGCTCAATAAGAGGCTCAAATGATGAGTAAAGTTGCAGACATTTTGGTGATTTTACAATGTGTCGAAAATTTGAACAGAGCTTTTTAAAGGTAGCTGAAGTGTTTTTCTTTTTACTCTTCAGATAACTTGAAATCAGTTTTTTTTAATTTGAGGTTTTGGCAAAGGCTGAGAGAGGTTGCTTACGTCCTCAACATCAACCACACCAATGTGAGGAGAAGAGAGTTCGATGCCGAAGGTCTTCTCCCAGTACGGCACCAGCTGAAAGAGAGATACAGACAGATGGTTATAGGTTTATACATCCTAATGCAATTATGAATGACATCAACGGATTTTGAATGAAAACATATCTTTATAAATCAGGTGCAAAAAAAATACAAGACAACAAAATGATCAGTGAGTGAGAGATCCACACCAGGGGGAAGTTGTCGGGGTCGATCCAGATGATGCTGAGGTTGGGGTTGTCGGTGTTCTCGCGTGCCACCTCCTTCAGGATTTCCAGGAACTCAAAACCGTCTAAAGAACAGTTCAAATGTCAGGTACGGTTTGTGAGCCCGGTACCCTACAGTATTTGGCTATAGATATTTGATCGTCCAGCTGATCGAATCCCTATGTGGATATTCTCAATGCTATATAAAGAGGCACTGGGGTAGACTTTTACCTGTGTCATCTTCCTCGGCAAAGGCAACAATGTGCTCTCCATCAATGTCATCCTCCTGTGAACACAAAAAGAAGGATGAGACGGGGATGCTCTATACTTCCACTCCAGATTGACTGATAGGACATATAAGTTTTATTGGAGAAGAGAAGGAACATTGTTCAACAGATGACTTTTTGAATAACAGTTTCAGATCTCTTACCCAGATCTCATACATGCTGTGGGGCTCAAGCTTCCTCAGTGTAGGCCTGAAACATTCAACAAAAAAGCATCGAAAATAGTTATTATCCATTGATTTATACTGTGGAAAAAACACTTGTTTGAAGAAATGACATTACTGTTTTCCCATATGAAAGGTCCCAAAAAAAGCATAAAAATGTCATATGATTATCAGAAGTTATTGTGTAAATTCTGCAGTGATAGAATAAGTACTTCGTAAAACTAGCAATACTGGCAAAAGTCCTGTATTCAAACGCTTATTTAAAATGGCAATAGTCTGCCATACAACTTGGAAATACTCAGGTTTGAATAGTAGCCACTTTAAGTAAAAGTACAAAAGCATTGTTATCAAAACATAGATAAAGTAAAAGTACTCATGATACAGAACGTCCCACTTCAGAAATATATATGTTGTATTACTGGATTATAACGTATTGATGTGCTCATCACTTTAATGTTGTAACTGGTAAAGATGGAGCTCATTTTGATTGCCTCCAAATTTTAATGGAGTTCAAGTAGAAGGTAGCATAAACTGGAAATACTACTAAAGTACAAGTACCTCAATACATGTACATAGTAACACGCAGCGTCTCACCTGTCATGCTGTTCAATGTACTCAATGAGCTCAGACTCGAGGTAGGGCTTTCCTGGAATGCAGACGGGATGCTCCATGAAGGGCTCGTAGAAGTCCACTTCATTCAACTTCAGCTTCAGCTTCTTGGCGATCTGAAATAATGTTAAGAGAGATGACGGGCAGGAAACACAACAACGTTTAAAAATCTTAAAAATTGCATTTGCTAGCACAGTGCAGAGACAAACTCAAATTCTAATCCACGCAAATACTCAAATAAACAATTCAAACCTTGGGGTCAAACGTGGCGAAGAATTTGACGAAGGGGTGGAACTCCTCGGCGGCGTCGTCGTACTCAATGAAGTCTGGATGGGGAAAATCAGGGAGAACATCATATTGAGCTCATATCAGCAGTTTCTTGGCAGTCGTCGGATCATAAACTTTCACCTACGAGGAGATCTCTCGCTCCTGAAATAGCCAACCAGCTTGATGACCTCGTCCATGTTGTGGAAACCCTTCAGCTCGCGCTCGTTGTCGATGATCTCCACGGCGTCCTCGACCACCTGACACCAGACATTTTTTAATCAGTTCTTACATCGGGGTGCAACAGTTATGACAAAAAAAACGTGGTCTTCATTTACCCACAGTGCTTTGCACCTGACCAGACATGACTTACATCGTAGAGGAACTCCACCAGGGTGTCGGCCGCCAGCTCTCCATCGTACTCGATGATCTCATTGTCGGCAAATATGTAGATGCTCTCCACCTCATCCAGACCTGCAGAGACACAGGCATTACACCATCATACCGGGAAGATTATAACACATATTCTGATAGTAAAGGTATAAGCAGATAGAATTAGTTTACACTCGCTGAAGGAACTTCCATATTTTCATTGGTGAAGGTAAAGATTGATTTATCACAGAGCTTTCTATTGCTGGTTTGTGTCAAGATGGACTCTTCTTTAAAAAGAAGAAGTCTACAAACATAGAAGCACATTTCAGTTTGTCACATATTCATATAACAGATTATTCATGCATTGGTTTGGGTTTACAGCTGCCATTACAAAGAAGCTGTGACATCATTCGTCAACACTTGAGGGCAGACTTGTTTCATACATAGTCTGTATTCACTTTAATACAGATTGAATCCCATATTTAGAAAGAATGTCCAATGTTAACATTTACTATTAACAGACTTTACACTTATTATTGGATTTTCAGTCCATCCAGCTTTTGTTTTGTCAATTATGACAATCAGACCACGTTTTCACCACCAATTCCCTGTCAGTGATTGGCATTAAAGTTTACCAAGCTTCTTGGCAACATTAGAATCCTTCTTTTCGTCCACCAGGCCGAACCCAATGTCCTCTTCTTCGAAGTCGCCCAGAACTTGGGCTGCGAGCTGGACAGAGAGAGAGAGAGAGAGAGCGAGAGAGAGAGAGAGAGAGAGAGAGAGAGAGGGGAAAGTGAAGGGGATGAAGAGGAAGTTGTATTTAGTATCACATGACAACTGATTCTATCTCTGACTGATCTCAGCGTCTCATCTGTCCATGATGGACCTTTCCTAGTCTCAGAACTCCATTGAAAGCACACTTTCAGTTTCATTTACACGAGCAACCCCTTTGGCATTTCATCTTAATTTCAAGGCCTTAAAATCAAAAGCTTTAGATTGCTGCCTTGCACTTTCTAAAACGGAGTGAAACCGAAGCCAACAATTGACAGACCTCGTAGCCGGCGTGAGAGGAGCACAGACAGCGGGGTTTCCAGAAGAACAAGAGGGGCAGAACTTGAGCCAACTATGTCGAAGGGGGAAGAGGCGCTGCAACAGGTGTGGTGGAAAGGAGAGGAGCGCACACTTTGCGAAAGTAAAGCTGCCGCATACGTGCACATATACTGTACATACTGTAAATATACAGACCTAAGCGATAAACAGCACTGTATTTCTCACAGCTTTATACAAATCCACATTGCCGTTTTCCACTTTCAATGCTATAGTTTGCGCTCCATTTTATCGATTTAGCGTGAAAAGATGACCGCCCCGTTAAATGCGAGGTTACACTCTGAATGAAGTGAGTCATAAGCGTTATGTAGCGCCTTGCAAAGCAGCATTGCCAAATAGATAACATTCATATGCGGGCAAGTGCCCCAAAGCCCCTGCAACAAATAGCTAGTGCAGTATGAATGGTATGTGCTATGTTGCTCTTCACAGGCAATCTATAATGCCATCCATTATTTTGGGCTCCACAGTTGAGATACATTAGGTCATGATTGGACTCAGCGCCAATTCTTCTCTAATCTGGTTAGGAGGATTGGCCTCATTACTTTGAAACCCTAAAGCAAGATAATCGCCATGTAACAGCTGATGGGAAAGGTTCCATTCAGGGGAAGGCTTCTTTTTACTTCCAAGGGTAAAATGAACATGTTTCCTAGTTCCTATTCTGCTTAGCTGTGCTGATAGTTTCAGTTTAATCTGCTGAGTTCAGTATTTTGGGAAATACACCTTAATGCCAAGAGTCACATCTGTCAGTTCGGGGTGAAGCTACAGCCAGCAGCCAGCAGCTGAACTCCTGAAGTTCTGCTGTTTTGACCTGTTCTCACTCCCTATGCCTCAAATACCGCGGCTTGATCTGCATCTCACACCGACGCACAGTTCCTCTGGTGAATTAGTCAAACGCACACAGGACTTTCATCCCGGAAACCACTGTTCGTGTCTCGGGTGAAACTAAAAGCGAACGTTGACTGTTCGTCACGTCAGTCAAGTTGACTTCAACCACACTATTCTCCTGAACACATCAAACTAATGACAACATAGTTATGAATATCAAATTCCATATCTGCCCTGTAAATCCTACACACTGGTCCTTTTTAAAGAGGACATATTAGGCAGCAGAAGTTATAGAGAAACACAACCATTCTGAACACTTTCTGTCAATGGATGGAGCAGCATTAGTAAACTCTGCTGTAGCAGATACACTGTATTACTGCAGAAGAACTTTAAAGAAGAGCATAGACAAGACAATGCCAAAGACTCTGCATAACATGTTCATCCAAAACTATTCCCCTCCCTGTTGCCGCATGGCATGGCCATATTCTTAACACTGGGGTATTTATAAAAGAGGAGAAGTTCTGGGTGCTCGCAGTGGGGTGGAAGCGAAGCAGGGAGTCCTACAGCTATATAAGGGCGTGTAAGAAAGCATGTTGAGGAGCAGAAATGAAGATCTGTTACATATAGGAAAGGGTGTGGAAAGGGAAGGAGGGGAAGGCAGACTGGGCTGATGAATGGAAGGAGACAGTTGACACGCTTAACGCTTCGCAGCCGTCATCTCCTTCTAGTTTCGTCCTCCCTCAATCATCTCTCGTTTCTGCTTTCTGGCATCATTGCCTCTCACCGTCACCTCCTATCTGTCCCATCTGGATATTTTGTCCTGACACCCTTCCTCATCTGTTCCCTCGCCATCATCCCGACCTCCGTCCAGAAGTCTGGGCGCACGGAGCCAAGTGAGAGGTCACCAGTTTGTAAACGCTTGGCTCCGTCTCTCAGTGCCCAGTCAGTGTCAGCTTGTCGGGGGACACAAGTTGAGGGCAGAGTGCCATGGTGAGTTGTCAAAAGTGAGTTGGCACTTGGCTGTGGCACCGGATGATGAGCTAGGAGAGGGTGGAGGGATCGCAGTGCAGTAGAGGGGGTCACGTTTCTTGTTATATAGCCGTCCACATGCTTACTCAACACTACTCGATGCAGGTTAGCCTGCAGTTTGTTTACTTTGGTGAAACTGCTGCACTGGTTGGACTCATTGAATTAGTGCCATGACGCTCTGTTTAAATACCACCTGACACAAGCGTAAAAAGTTACACATTCTCCTGACAACACTGTAAAACGCAACAAATTCCAACTGAAATAAGCATAGTGTAACGCAATGACCATTAACAGCGTAGCTACCGTAAATAAACCATAAACCTCAGCTGACTTTCTTACGTTACATTACGAAACAAGCGTAACAACGTTACGTAACAAGCGTAAAGTTGTCTCCTGGGTGCAGGTCCTGTGTTCGATTGACCCCTCCAACCGGCCCTTAGTGGACGCACGCACGTTACACTCGCTATTATACCACATATTATACCATATCACTTGCTCTGACCGAGTGCAAAAATGTCGACGTTGAATGTATTCATGGTCCTGGTGATGAGCTGTATACATGCATCCATCCAGCAGTCTTTCTTCACTCCCTCTACCGTATGTGTCGTTGACTCTTCTAGGGTTGCATTCTCTATCACCGGTGTAAATCTGAGCCTCTAACTGAGTCTGTTTGGTTTGTCGCTCCCGTGGAGGCCTTGTCTGCTTCTTTAGTAAACAACCGAGCAGTTTGATGAGTCAAACGTTTGTACGTGTGCGTCACCTTATGATGCAAGTCACTCAGTGAGAACCCCCGGGACACAAACACACACTCACAGACTCTAGTAGCTTCCACGCCAGCTGCCGAGAAACAGCCAGCTCTGCAGTTAGCTTTTATCGTCATTAATATTTGCATCCAAAGTTTAAAATATTCTGAGCTGTGAGGGAGTGTGTGTACATTTGTGTGTGTACAGTGCACATATGTATTGACGTGGTTAAATGCAGGTAAACCGTATTGCACGTTTTAGCACATTTATAAAAGCATGCGTGCTTTACATTACAGGAATTTTTAAATTTTAGCGCGAAACACCTTGATGTTTATAAAGAAGCAAATACGTTTTTAATCAAATTGTACAATCCTCCAAAAAACGCTTCTCAACACTGTTCACTGCAATAAGAATAACAGAAACAAAAGGTTGCATGGTGGGAAGAGCAGTTAAAAAGTCAAAACCCTACAGTGTGCCTTGGTATATGTTTAACAGTAAAAGTATGTGTGCCAGTACACAAACTAGTGGGTAATAGTGGGCAGCAAAATCACACATCCTATTAAAATGTTCTCTAACATGCTACCACCCAAAAAATTGCTGAATCTGTAAATCAAGGAACATTAATAGGTTTTCAAAGCAACACGATTCCCCATCGTCCTGTATGAGCAAATGTCCTGGCATCTGTGCAAAAATTAGAAGTTCAGCCTGCATGCTTTAACCCCCCCCCCCCCCAGCCAGATGGTAAATTAATAATGGCTGCTGCACATCAGGACTCCACACTGTGCTGTTACATAACACTGCACCAGGGTGGACATGACAGATTCAGATACAACAACGTTGTATCAGCTAGTGTAGCTGCACTGTTTGTAAAGCTGGCGATCCAGAATTGTGCACAGAAATAATGCTCTTGAACGTTTCTGGAGACTTTAAATCTAAAGGAAATCTTGTCGTCTGATTCTTTAAACGTGGCGTTGTGTATTTTCCCTTTTCCAACTCGGTCTGGTGGGAGATGTGATGAAACGCACGGAAAGCTGTTGGAAATCTCACAGGCACACAAGCTGATTCACCACAACACACTGTGAGGACACGTGTGTCTGGGACCATCTGTGTATGACTCACTCAGACAGCAACAAGCCATATTACAAACATCTCGCACAACAATCTCAGCTATTAAAGTCGGGTTTATGAGTCACGTAGAAGCCAGCAGGTGTTGCATGCAACAAACTTTTCAAAGGACGAGCAGGTGCGTTTATTTGACTCAAGTTATTTTGATTTGATAGGTGACGATACTGTAGAAAAGTGATCTTTACTGCTGAAATTAAAATGTTTTACACGCCATAGTAGGAAATGTGCGTCTGCAGCTGATAACATTAATGACTGCCATGTTGCATTTGAGGGTCGCAGTAAATCACGTCGGTTATTAGGCATGCACAAACCCACTGAAATACATAAATAGGCCTATTTCACACAAAACAACACTGTCAAATAATAAGTTGAACTATGGCTGAATTCCATTTAGCTGATTCAGTTTCCTGGTGTCGTGCATGCCGCTCAGTGTCCCACTGACGAGGCTTACTGGGACATGTGACCCTGTGCTATTCCTACTATGAGGAGTCTGCTTTGTATTATGGGTTATAAAATGGAGCAATCCTTAATTAAAATTATTAATAACTCTTCTCTAAGACACGTTAATAGGACAAGTGCTGTGACAATCATTTGCAGCTCTATAAATATATCTTGTGAATGGGGTGATAAAGTAGCAAGAAGCAGAGAGGTTCACTTACACTCTGCGATGTAAAGCACTTACGCGCCGCACTCTCAGTGCTATCTTTATTCAGGCCCGTCTCGTTGTGGCATGAAGATGAAAGTCAGGGTTTCGACGTCGTAATCACATTTACATTTTTCATGATGCACCTTCACCTCCTACATTTCCTTGACATTTTTCTCCCGTGAATAAGTGATGAGAAGACATTCGCTGATACGAATAACGGAGGAGGGGGAGAAGCAGAAAAAAGGAGCATTTAG